ACACTAGGAAGGTATTAATGTTGTAAGTGAGTTATTTTTTTTTCCCTTTCAAAAGGTGAGAGGAAGGGAATAGATGTAGAGTCCAGCTGCTCCCACCTGAGGCCCCTGTAGGGCCCCGGGGCCCCTTCTGCCAGCCACACCCCCAATCCCCCCACCCACGGCATCACTCCAACCTCCAGCTAGCAGCTCTGCTGTCCGGACATACAATCTAACATTTCTGAACTATAACCAACCCACTGTGCCTTTAGACCCCAGTAGGACCATGCTGCAGGTTTCCCCGACATATTTCAAGCCTGGTTTCTGCCAAATTGGTCACAGGATCCATACTGGCATCCTGTCGACATCCCTGTGTAGTTCTGCATTAATAACTAAAAACACACGACCTTGGTCAGATAATCATTCAGGCTAACGAGGCAATTAGAAAGGGGGGCAAAACGTGATAATAATTTAAATGCAAAGGTTGTTGTTTTTGGGGGAGGAAGGAAGCCATATTAAATATTGGGGGGTACATATCCCACACCCAGTCCTCCTGATTCTTCCCCTGGGTCATAGTCTGTAAGGAACCTCATTTTGTCCCATAGAACAATTGGCATCTTCATTTCGTTTGTGGGTTTAAACAAACTAGAACTATCCCAAACAACCAAACGTAGGTGCAGGCGGACGGTCAATAACAGAAAGAGAATAAGCGAGGCAGCCAAACCCAGGAAGACACGCTGGCAAGAATCAGACGTCCAGCAAGTCAGAAATACAGGCCGTGTAGAGTAATGAGGAAGCGAAAAGCGTGGGAACCACTCAGGAGGGGAGGTACCTCAACACCTCACACAGAACAAGGACAAAATCTGGCAACTCATCACAGGGGGAGGCACAACAGCTGATCAACCCCCCGGGTAGGAAGATCTCTGCAGGCCTGGAGGTTCAGGTGAGGTTGGGCTGGTTGAGACGCGGGCGTAACATCGCCAGGGTTCCACTCACAGAATAAAGGGCGCTACTATCACTTAATTCTGCTACATTTCACTCACAGTCTCACAGTTTACATCAACAGCTCAGCAACAAACAGCAATATGATGCAGTGCTATTTTAACTCAGAGGAAGTTAAGATTATTGTTTTTAAACTAGGCTATGATTTTGAAATGCTTAGCAGTCACACTTAGAGCAAGTTGTGAAGCCGTATTTTTCCCATCAGCTCTAACCATGGATATAAGAATATAATCACAGTACACACCTGCTCTCTGAGTCGTCTTTGGCGATAGATCTTCATAGAGATTTAAGGGGAAAAGTTCATATTCTGAAAGTTAATGCCTGACCAAGAAAAATATCGACACTGAGAGGAACAGAAAGATGCAACTGAGACAGAAAAGCCACCCTTACAGAAATAGAAACAGGAAATGTTACCATAAAGAAAGAGTTAGTGAGCTCCTGCATCCCATGAGTGCCTGCGTTCAAATGGCAGCTCTGAATTTTGGCTGGATGAAACCAAAGAATCACGAATAAACTGGCTTTGGAGGAAAAGGGCAATTATTAAAAGAGGTCTTTAATTTTGAGGGCAATAATGCATGTGGAGGAAATGAATGGACTGTTCAGTAGAACAAAAATATTCCTGCTGCCTCTCCACATGCAGTGTGAGAGATGGAAATATCCTGAAGGTCAGCATTAGCAGTGAAATTAGCAAGATGTCTTTCCACTGTCGTCCACAGTATAGTATCTGGCAAAAACATCTGCTCTGTTACTTGGAATGTTTTCTTCTGTTCCAGGCCACATATACTATAAGGTCTGTCAAACGGAAAAGAACAAGTGTACCACCGAAATCAAATTAGTAAAAAGTTGTTAGTATTTGTAGCCAGCGGTCCAATTATAAAAGTAAGGAACACACGCACGCATGCGCACGCAGGAACACACGTTTGCGTTTATATCTTTGTGGGGACCGTCCATTCATTTCTATGGGGAAAACCCTAATTCCAACATGACAACCTTAACCCCTACCCAGCCCCAACCTTAACCATAAGTAACCAAACAAAATACATGATTTTTGGCATTTTTTTGTTTTTTTGATCGCAGTCACGGATAAAGTTTTTATAAAACTGAGTTTCCCCTTGTGGGGACCAAAAGAATGTTTCCCACAATGTCAAAATAACAGATTTTTATCACATTGTGGGGACATTTGTGTGGGGACACACATACACACACACGTACACACACAAAAATGTGTGGGACTCAATACTGATAAAGCCTGCCTCTGAAAAAGACACGAATGTGTAATGAAAGAGTCCCATTCATTGCACTTTTTCACAAAAGATCATGGCACACTTTGAACTGCCTTGGATACTTTCCTGAGAATTTTACCAAATTTATCTTGAAAACGTTTATACTCAAAGAAACCACTTTGTAATTTTTTTCCACATAACTACAAATCTGCTGATTCCACTCAAATTAATCGGCAAGCGATGCTTCTTAAGAATCGATGCATTTTTTCACAATTCGCCCCCCCAAAAAAATAAACAAATAAATAATAGCAAGTTCCTTTTATTTTATGATCAATCTGCGCGTTGAGGCCAAATCACAGCGCATGCAGAGCGCGAGGACGAAACGCATAGCTGAGAAAGACTGCAGTCCTGTATCAGACAAACTGATTTTATTATACGGATCAGTCATTTTTGGGTTGTGTTTGGTTATGCAGTGTTAGTCTTATTTTAAATGATGAAATATTTATAATATTTTTTAAATCTTTCTTGCACCGCATTCTTTTACGATGTTACTATTGCAATGCCATGATATACACCCCCACCCCCCCACCCTCAATGTAGAACTCTCCGCGACGCCTCCGGTAACGTGTAAAAGGTTCACGTATAACAAGCACGTGCATTTTGTCTATTTTTACTTTGAGAAAAACACGGAACAAGATATACTAAATCTCCATAAACTGCATAGCAAACTGGCAGATTTGGTAAATAGGAAAGTTTAACATATAACACAATAATGCAAATAATATTAAATATTCTTTCATTTTAGAGAGCATGTGCAATGCAAATTAAGTGTGATTTGTGATTCTCCAGTACGGTGACGCCTACAAATGAAATGTTTCCCCGTGCTGGACAGATGGGTTTGAGACCCCCGGGGGGGGGACATGATTCATACGGGGCACCGGCGATTCAGGATGGCAGCCTGAAGCGATCCAAGCACGAGGTCAACCGTTATAAATCTAATTAGAAAGTACATTTTAATTAACAGTCATTTTTAACCTCGGCGAGGTGTTAATCTGGCATTAAGTGAGAAAGTGACTTTCATGTATTCCTCGCGAGATATTTAACACGTTACTCTAATCGTTTATAGTCCGTTCGCAATATCGCAGCTGTTACAAAAATATGTTTCGATTGCTTGTCCTTAAGTAAATTCGGTGCACAAATATAGGCTATTCCGGATGTACCTATATTCTTGTAAAACAACGCAGTGACAATGAGACTGCAGCCAACACACGGCCGTTACCGTTCTCTCCAGTAAACTGTTCGTCATATCAAATAAAATATTTGACACCTAGAAAACCTAAAACATAAACGGCAAAATAAAAATACAATTTTATACGAGTTTCAGCAATTTTACTCCAGGAAAACATAAATAATAACCACAAATAATGTATGGTCTTTGTTTGCAGATGTTTTACAAAACGAAAAACACGGGATAGTTTTTTTTCCTGTAATGCTTTGTCTTCTGGTTAGCCGGCTATACCTGTGGGTTTTCGCTGCCAATTTATCAAAATTTTCTCCGTTACTTTTATTGTAAATTGGGCTGGTGCGTTATTGAATTCCAGTTAACACACTGCGAAAGCTGACTTTCAGCTTGAAATAATAATTTTTACAAAGTTTATGTGGGGTTATATGGACAGACATTAAATGAATGTTTCATTTCTTATTTTATATAAACAGTTGAATTTAATTTACTATATAACCTACATATAGATAAATTAAATACTTTATTTTAAAATGCATCGTTCAGTGCTTATTTTATTTCTTTGCTATATTTGTTTCTTCGGCAAAAGCAGCAGCATTATGTATTTCAAAGAGTGATGAAGAACACATTCCTTTCCCCCGAGAGAACTGAGACGAACTTTCTGGGTCCTTTCGCAAAAAATATTACTAATTTTACACATTATTAAATAAGCGAGTAGTAATGTACTATCAATGCCTTGTAACTTTTCCAGGATTTAAAATAATTTATCAAATAATTTTAATAATCAGTTCTCATGCAAAACATTGCACAGTATTTTGATGTTTTCATTCGCAAATACTGCATGAAGTTCTCTGCAGCTTGGTGCGCCTTTCCTGTAGGAAATGTTAGCTAGGCACAGCCTACATGATTTGCATCCTTTTCATGGTCACAATACGCTAGCAAGACTTGCTATCGGGTTGTGAATTGTCGCTTAACATTCACACCAGTCTCTCATTTCCGACTTTTTCTTATGCTAACATTTGCAATGATAAGGTCGTTAACACACGTGAGAAGCTCGTTAAGAACTCTCCCCTCGATGTTAACTATTGTTATTACGTGCCGGCGTTGAGGAAAGATGTTACAAATCCTTCAAAGTCAAGCTATAAAGGTGAAACTCCGATGCTACAATATCCATGATTTAAGGCGTACTTTAAGAGGGTATGACTGAGAGGTTGGAAGTCGGGCAGTAGCAAGTACATAGTTGGCAGACCCGCGAGACAATCCCCTTTTTGCTGGCGAGTCAGACGTCACTCGACCACGTGACTGTATAAGTGAAAAGTAATTAACCGGACAGCTGATTGTTAATCTGAGTGAAATTCGCCGCGCCTCAAGTTGTAAAAAGTCACTGCGGAGAAAACTCATCCGGGGAGTGCAGGATACCGATGCAGTAAACGAATTTGAGGTTTATATCGAATTGTTTATAATATATTGTTGAATTCTGAACCATCAGAGTGGCAAGAAGAATCGGTTGATGATCCGCACCGCGACTGGTCAGTCACCTGGCTGCCTTTAGCGTTCCGCTGGAGTTGGAAGTGAGCGGCGATGACCCTCTCTGAAGGCACCAGTGCCAGCCACATGTCAGCACCACCGGCCATCACCTCCGAAGATGCGGACATCGATGTCGTCGGTGAGGGCGACGCGGGCGCGGACAGCGACTGCGACTGCCAAGGAGACCTGGGAGGCATGCAGGAGATAAGGGTTACGGAGATGACAGGTAACTCGTGTGAATACGAGAGAGCAGGCGATGGGCAGAGCACTGGGAACGAGCAGGGATGTGCGCCAGGTCCGACACAGAAGAAGCCGAAAAGCAGCTTGGTAAAGCCGCCGTATTCCTACATTGCGCTCATAACCATGTCCATCCTGCAGAGCCCACAAAAGAAACTGACTCTCAGTGGTATCTGCGAGTTCATCAGCAACCGCTTTCCGTACTACAGAGAGAAGTTTCCAGCCTGGCAGAATTCAATCCGACACAACCTGTCCCTCAACGACTGCTTCGTCAAAATCCCAAGGGAACCGGGAAATCCTGGCAAGGGTAACTACTGGACGCTGGACCCGCAGTCGGAAGATATGTTTGATAACGGCAGCTTTCTAAGGAGACGGAAGAGATTTAAGAGGCACCAGCCAGATATACTCAGAGACCAGACCACCATTCTGATGCAGACCTTTGGGCCATACAACGTTGGGAATCCGTACGGTCGTCACTTTGGGATGCCCCCACCAGCTTTCTCTCCTGCCGCCGGTTTGCATTATCCATACATCCCCTCTCTGACTGCGATGCTTCCACCTGCGGTGCCGCTGTTATCCTCCGCTGAACTGAGCCGAGGGCCGTACAGCCCTCAGGCCGGGCCGGGCATTCAGCTGCAGCTGGATGGCGCAGGGACGGCGTCGGGTACGAAGGCAGCGCTCCCCAGAAGGCCGTCATTTAGCATAGAAAACATAATCGGGGCGTCCAGCACTTCGTCCGATTCAGAGACAGTCACCCGGCCCCCGGCAGCAATTCAGTCCGCCTTACTGAGCGCACAGTCACTGCTGATATCCCGGACGTCACCAGCTCTTACACCCGTCTTCAGCGTGCCGACAAACATTATTTCGGCACAGTTTTTACCAACAGCCTCCAATGCACCGACATCGAAATGGCATTCTTCATAGTTGTTTTTAATCAATCACAGCTAATTACAACAATGATATACGCCTACAGCAAGCACTCGGCTTTAAATATATGGGCACACTTTATGTGAAGATGAATTGTAAATATTTGTAAGAAAGTGTTTTTTAAAATTTAGTTTGACTAAGAAGGAGAATTTTAAATAAAAAAAAAAAGTTCATAAGATTTTAAATTTTGTTTTGTATATCCATAGTATTGTAAATGTCACCTATTAATAAATGAGACTGTATACAGATCCTCTCCCAGATACGCATGAGATTCGCGTGGTTTTCGACAGTTTGAGTTTCGTGTTTCGCGGCTGCGTGCCGAAGACAAACGTCCTGCATCATTGCTTTATATAGGACGCCAGTATGACACCCAGCCCAGAAATGTAACTACAGTAAAATATGATTTAAAAATAAAACGCAAAGACTTCAGGTGAACTATATAAACAGAGGAGGTGTGTCTGTTTGGGTTTATATTCAATGTTCACAAAATAGCACGAACAGAGAATATTAATGCCGACATATCCTGCATTACAGTGGTAATAAATCCCTTACATGAATAATAATAATAATTGGTAGTTGCAAATTCGTACAGTTTTATATGTGTAATTTGAAAGTTAGTATTTTAGATACATTTTTAAAGAAAAACAAACGAATGAAAAGGGCGACAATAATCAAATAAAAACAGGTATTTTCATAGCTATAGTAGTTTTGTTACGTGCACAGCGGTAAGTTTAATATGACCATAAAATTGTTAGCTTATTTACTCACGCATCTAAATATTTCGAACTTTAGGAACTTAGAAAACTTTGCAATGAGCTGACTTTTAAATAAAAATATGCTAATAAATACAAAAATAATAAAAGAACACTATAAATTTAGTATGTTTTTGCAGTAATGTGCCTATTTTTATACCATTTAATAAAAACGTTCATGTTTATTTATATTACATATAGTTGAATGATGAATCTTGCCACAAAATAGTGATTAAAGTATCACTAATGGAGACAAAATTCATGACAATCAAAAACAAATGACTCCTTCTTTGAGGGGAAGCTGTGGTACCGATGCATGACTGGCTGGATGGTCGCTTTTCAAACGGACCGCGAACCGTCACGTCTATTTGCAAAATGCATGAGTGGATTTTGTGTTTTTTTCCGTAAGAAGCTGCAATGCAAATTAATTTTTACTTTTAAATTATGTTGTGTTTACCAAACCATCACGCCGTCTTCCCGCCAATTATGTCCGGAGCCCAGTAAATGGGAGTGCCACCCATGTTGGGGTGAATTCAGCCAGGTCTTGTGATGTACTTGTGATGTCCCGGCTTCTAAAACATACACCCTGTCGCTTCTTACAGGTCAGCATTTGATTTAACCAGAATTGACATTTTGGAAGAAAAGCTTAACTTGATCCCCCTACCGATTTATCTAACATTACGTGCACCGCCCTTGTCATTCAAATCTGAAATGTCAGCAAAGACATTATAGGAACTTGCCCTGGTTATTGAAACTAATTGTAAAACTGGCGAGCTGATAAACCTGAGTTGGAAGGTGCTGTTCTATCCGTAAAGAAACGTGTGATTAAATGGGATAATGTGCTATTGAAGACATAAGACAGAATCCGCAAGGCTCATTTTAGTCTGATACCAAATGATTTTCTCCAACTTAATCCCCTGTGATAATTTCTTCATAAACCTGAATATTTTATAGGCTAATACGAACTGAACAGAAGCCATCTAAATCACCACCCCCTGATTTACCAAATATCGGAATCGTTCCGAGTAATTCTAAATACACGTTTTACAGTTTACACAGTGTCCCTGACGTGATGGAGTTACATTATAACTATCTTTATAAATTTCACACTTAAACAACGCCTTCTCTGTTTTCTTATAAAGCGTTGAATAACAATTTGTTTACTCTTATGAACAATGAGTCCATTCTTTCCCAAAGAAACGGGCAAAAATGATGAACAGACCCTATCATACAAACGGCTGCCTTAAACGTCCGGTACTTTGATGTTGTTAGTAAACTTATGAACTAGATAGATGTCGTGCTCACCATGTGATGAAAATGTGACATTCGAAGTGGGTGGAGGTACAATCACATTTGAGGGTCGTAACTAATTGAAACGATTTAGTATGACTGCGCTTAAAGGCGTAATACAGCTACCCTCGGTCGTTTTTGTGTGGTTGAATCACAAGCAGAGTTTTGCTTAGGGCGTAATATATTTTTTTAAATATATTTTATATATATATATTTATATATATATAAATTTCTTTAAAAACAGCCTATATAACGCAAATATTCAGACACATTTATTTAAAATGACGTAATTTTAAAATGACAATTACTGAATATATTTACATGTACAAGACGTAACATGTTTAATGCTGTAATTAAATTTTGACTCAACGACGATATGTAATATGTATTTTTTTCAGATTTTAAAATAATTTTATACTGCTGTCACATTTCCCGATTCCAAAAAGGTCTCAAATGACATACGTCATTTGCACCAAGCTGCAGACATACTTCATTATAGGGATACATGTCTGTGGTATCAATTTATTTCGAAATATCGCAGATTTATTTTGTTGTATTTCATCACATTGCATTGTGCAATTTATTAAACATCTACAGTCAAGTGAGTACCTGTGTATGTTTTAATGGTCTTTAAATGACATTTGAAGTTCAACTCGCTTAAACACCGGATGCTGTAAATGGCTCTGCAGACGGACGCATTTGCTGGAAGAAGTCGCGATTGCTTTATGTCCTCAAAGTTACACGTAGGCCCAGGGGCGTCAGCAGCATTTTGAATGTGGGGGGGGGGGAACAGATAGCGGGGTGTCTGGGGACCCTCCCCCAGAAATTTTTTAATGAATTAGATGCCGTATGTGTATTCTCATATCGATCAAGTGGAATGGATTCTTTCGCGAAGCAATAGAAACAACGCTGGGTGAACTAATATGTTATGTTAAATGTGGGGGGGGTCCAAACGAATAATTATGAAATGTGAGGAGGACACGTCCCATGTGTAGGCCTACTATTTACTGATTTTATTGGAAATAACTATAGGCCTACAATGCGACAATGTGTATAAAACAGATACTGCAAAATGTGCAATGAAATCTGGAGTAACTTTGTCTATAAACACCTGCACAGAGAAGTACGTTTAACCAGCAGTCAAATTCGGTCAGGGTGGCTTCGGACATCTAGTGGACATTTCAAGTTACTGCACAATCTCCACGTCATTTACATTTTTAGGTAGTTTGCATATAAAGTAAAACTAAACATATAAATTAGTAAATCACTGATTTACAATGGGGGGGGTATTCTTCATAATCAGGTTACTAACACTCTTATTAGGAATACAAGAATATTCCTTGTATTACTTGTTAATAGCTGGCGAGCCGGAAGTAATCTCCATACTGTCTCACTTGATTGCTGGTTAACTACGTAGCTGCACATTATTGGAGAAGTTGAACTGCGTCTAGATTAAAAAAATAAAATACAATAAAACAGAAGAAATTAAATAATAACTAAAAACTTAATAAATCTGATGGGCAGGATAATTTGCTTAGTTTTTAATTCAGTCACGGGCTGCAATACAGCATCTTATAGCCAAGAGTGATTCACAAAACATTCCACACTTACAATTTTAATATTATGCTCCCAACGGACTTTTATATTTTAAAGAGGGATGAAGAAAATCCCAGGCCAAGGAGGTTACGACTCAGGCAACCGGAAAGCAGGCAGGGATCCACAATAACATAAAAGAGCGCAGCCTGTAATGGGTATAACAGGGCAAAGTGGGCAACTTAGGTCAGCTGGTCGAAGCGAGATTTTCGGTTCGACCGAAGTTTGCACACGCATTCACATGTACGTAGCAATTTTATTACCTTGTTAATAGTCTGCAAGGTTTGCAAACTACGTCGACGCTTTGATGGAGCTAATTTTAGGTTTTTACTGGAATAATATAGATTTCGCGTAAGATTTCTTGCGTGGGCATGAGTCTGAAAGCGTGTCACGCCATGAGTTGGCAGGCCTGGGTAAAGGCGCGTCATGAGAGTTATGTCTTTATACCATATCTCGGTTTGCATGCTTTCACTCAGTATTGAGGGTCTCCTCTGTTTCTCTTGTGCCGTTTGGTTGCTTCCCCCAAAAATATGGCGTAGGCCTATGCAAACTGACAAAACACGGGAGCCTCCTTTTTCCCCCGTGAAGTTCATAACATGCAAAGGTGCAATCCCCCGTCAGACCTCCCCTATGCCCCTCTGTACCTTCTCAGGTCATGTCCATCGCCGAATCTCTCCTGCTTGCCCCCACTTCCGGACGCTTATTGCAAATCGCAGACCTACCTTTCGCGGTGACAGGGCTCTTCCCAATAATGTCTGGACGCCGGTGGCTTTCATGCTGTGCCGCCCTGATTCCGCGATGAGCGGGAAAAGATTGTTTGCCGAAGCCGCTATGCTTCCAGGACTCACCCGCTACTTGTGGAGCTATATATTTGTATTGATTTTAAGTAAAAATATATTTTAGTGTGCCCTTGCTTCTTTTCCATTATCAGACATTAAAACGAGCATTAGCATTAGATAGTAGCAGACCTGCCCCTATAAAAGTAAACGTATGGTTGCCAACTCGCCCGCATCTGGCGTGACACTCACGCATGAAATGTTTTGGCAAATCTATATTATTCCATTATAAAGCTAAAAATAACCTACATCAAAAGTGTTTGGATAGTTTGCAAACCCTACAGGCTATTTACAAGGTAATAAAACTATTACATACATGTAAATGCGTATATTAATGCAGGAATGATGGTTCTTGACATAAGAAGGCATATATCACTATGCTATAAGCATATCTACTCACTTGTAGTACTCAAAACAAAATGTTGTATAATGTATAAAATGTTTATCCAGCCACAAAGGCCCAGCAGTTTCATCAGACCAGGACCATTTTCAGTGTTGTGTTGGTCCACCTTATCAGTTGTTGCACATGCAAATTTTCCGACTGGTCATTTTATGAGAAGATGTACAGTACTGTGCAAAAGTCTTAGGCAGGCAAAGAAAATGATGTTTAGATTATCCTCGTGTTGCTGTAAAACTATGATATTATGCCTGTCAAAGTGTGTCAGCTTAGCCATTTCAGAACCTCTGCTAAAATCACCCCAGTATTTGCAGTGACCGTCCAGTGCATCCATGTATTTTTTGACTTGGCCACTAGCACCTCATACAGCTAGTCAATCTCTCACTGACTTTTCAAACCAGTTTATTTTATTATTTAATTGAGCTGTTGGTGAAATTGAACAAAATCATGGAACGGCTGAGGTGCCCCTGAGGAGAAGTTTGGGAACTGAAGCGGTGTTCATCTAGCCATCCAACTAGATATCAGTAACTTTTTAGAAAACAGAAGAAATTCTTATTAGGTTTTATTGTGTTACTCTTAATTTGCACATGTTCTAATGTTAAATTGTGTTTTTTGTTCTAAGCCAAAGTACACTTGCTACCCAGATAAACAGCTTTAAACGTTTCTTTGGATTGCCTAAGACTTTTGCACAGTACTGTATATAATTCCATAGAGCTCAGATAGTGGCTCTTGAAATGGTCTCTGACCTATATGTTATCGTCCTTGGATGCTACATGCCAATCCAGCACGTAAAACACAGACAGACACATCCAGAGGAGCTTTAAGGGACCACTAATCTGAAACCGCAAGCAAAGGAAATCCACACAGCACAGCCATAAGAACATACACACACACAGCACAGCCATAAGAACATACACACACAGCACAGCCATAAGAACATACACACAGCACAGCCATAAAAACATACACACAGCACAGCCATAAGAACATACACACACAGACACACACAACACAGCCATAAGAACATACACACACACAGCACAGCCATAAGAACATACACATACACACAGCACAGCCATAAGAACATAGACACACACAGCACAGCCATAAGAACATACACACACAGCACAGCCATAAGAACATACACACACAGCACAGCCATAAGAACATACACACAGCACAGCCATAAAAACATACACACACAGCACAGCCATAAAAACATACACACACACAGCACAGCCATAAAAACACACACAGATAGCACAGCCATAAAAACATACACACACACAGCACAGCCATAAGAACATACACACACACAGCACAGCCATAAGAACATACACACACACANGCCATAAGAACATACACACACACAGCACAGCCATAAGAACATACACACACACACAGCACGGCCATAAGAACATACACACACACAGCACAGCCATAAGAACATACACACACACAGCAGACACACAGATGGTTTTCCTGAAATCCTTAAGGAATACAGTGAACTTCATTTGAATATGGTGATGAAGTGTCATTTTCTTGCCAATATTAAATAAATTATCCATTCAAAAAATATGTTTTACATCAGTTTAAAGTTACCCATAGAGATTTTTCCGGAACAGAAAAAGATGCACGTTGCTTGAACAAATATCCTCCTAATTTCGTTAGAATTTTTCTTTGATGTGGGTACATGTGGGTACATGTGAGTACATGTGGGTACATGTGAGTACATGTGGGTACATGTGGGTGAAATTAATGAGCACATTCTGGTGCTTTATAAAAATGTTTTCCACACTAAATCTCTAAGGATCCCTTGGACGGGGGGAGGGGCATGTGGGAGCTGTCAGGTGCTCAGGGCGGGCAGGTTGGTCAGCCGGGAGCGGCGCGTCTGTGGCTGGGAGCCCCTCCCATGCTGCAGCTGGATCACAGTCCCCGATTCCTCCATCAAGCCGGGCCGTGCCCCCCCACCGGGGCCGGTGGCACCATCTGTTTATATTAATAATCGTTAAGAATCTCTTAAAAAAACTTTCTGTGAATCACTATGATGTTTGTATCGTGAGTGACCTCATCACGGTTGCAGGTTTAGGCATGTCCCCCCCCCCCCAATTCCAGTCCTGGAGCACCAGAATGCAACACAGTTTGCTCAAACACATCTCAATCACCTAATTACCAGGTTAATATGGGTGTCTGAGCAGGGCAATCTACGAACTAACCATACAGAACCAGAACTGGGGACCCCTGATGTAGGGCATCCCTACATATATTTTATGTTAAACTCCCCAAACAGCTACAAGAGGTGTTACCTGCAATGCCGGAGTAGCTCCGCCCCCTGTGATTCTTACTGAGGTTCTCTTGGTTCTTGTACTCGTGGAGTTGAGCATGAACCAGCCTCAACTCACTCCTCAGCTGGTTTATCTCTCTGATTAGCGAAACGTTTTCCTGCCCAGACGACATTCACATTTACTCACTGACCTGATGCTTTTACCCAGAGCAACTTACACTACAGCAAAGAGCTACAATTCATGTGGGGAGCTCCCTAGGATTTGAACCAACAACCTTTGCATCGTTAGCACAATACTCTTCTTATTTATTTACAGGAGCTCAACAAATATGTATCTGTGTGTAAAGTTATGCGGGAGACTAGATATTGTAACATGGCATAGTCTAAGCAAAATATTCGAGAAATGAAGAACAGAGCTTTACCCCAAAGATCTTAAGAACATAAGAACATGTTAGTACATCTTAGTGGATAATTGTTCCACTTCTATAGCTGAGTAATGAAACCATTTAAGCGTGCTACTGCATTCAAAGCTGCATCCATCCTTGGTCTTCCCCGTCTTTTGTTTGGATGAATACATTGTATCCTCCACCTGCAACCCCAATCTCCTCCCTCTCACCTTCATTATCTTGACATGCTCTGCGTGATGGACCTCCGATTCCTTGGCCAGTTTTTTCTGCAGGGAGGCCATTGTCCTCTCCATGTGCTCCCGCTGACGACTGTACTCCTTCTCGATATCCGCATCCATCGCCACAATATCCACCTGCAGCCACAAGTAACCCACCTTATGTGACGTCAGTCCCTGATCTATAACAATAATCCTGTATGTATGTGGGAGACCCAGCTCTGATGATGGCCACGCGGGTTCCTCACCAGATCAGACTGCTGCACATAGCGGTGGTACAGCTTGCAGATGCTGTCCTTCAGCTTTCTGGGCTCCTGAATGTGGCCGACGCAGTTGTGAAGGTCAGTCTTGAACCGGTCAACCAATGTCTCCAACTGACGTACCTGAATTAAGTCAACGGGGCAGGAATAGTCAAGAGACGTTCAAACAATCTTCCATGTATCACGTAACGGGAAGATTCACCAATACCAGGTTCCTGGTCGGACACGACTACGTTCGTGCCCACCTTCTGTATCTGGCGATGCGTCTCTGTTTCGCTGGTCTTCAGCTTCATTTTCAAGTCTGCGATGGTTAGGTCCAGCTGGGTATTCTGGTTCTGGAACTGCTCCAGTTCACCTTCCATCTGTCAAGGAAACACTGTGTATATCAGACTGAAACCCATTTTTAATTACGGAGAAGATATGAATCACAGTCAGGTAAGTCTGACACATCGTCACCAGCCAGATGTGACGGTTCTATTGATTAACTCGTACTAGACCTGAGGTCTAGAAAGTAAAAAATCCAGCAAAATCTTGGTTTTGTCAGGGTCAGCCCCTGCTGTGGTCCTTCTGTGTCCCTTCCCTGCTTGACCAGCAGGTGTCGCTGGTCATCCCGTCCTTCATGTTAGTCTTTGTTCTCCCCAGTTACCTGTCTGCTCATGTAGCTCAATGTGTTGAGCATGTGGTTGTCTGTGTACTCCTGTGTTCGAATCCCACCTCCTGTTTTTGTATTTTGCTCCCTAGTGTTTCATTTGAGTTTGTCTAGTTATTGTATTTGGTGATTTTGTATATGGTTTTTGGTTTTGTTCCTTGTGCCCCTGCTTGTCTTTACCTGTCTGTAATTCCCCAGTGTTCTGATTCCTTGTTTAGTTCTTAGTTTCCTTGTTTAGTTCCTTTGAGTATTAGTTACACCTGTACCCCGTTTCCCTGGTCTTTCTTAATTAGCCTCACCTGTCCTGTGTTAGTCTCGTTACCCCTTAGTATTTTAGTTCCTGCTTCTGTTCAGTTCTCGAGTGGTTCATTGTGTGTGTGCGCGCACGTGCTGTTGTTGATTGTGTTTCATAGTTGATGTTAGCTGTATATCCGGTTTTTGTTAATTAATCCCTTTGTAGTTTTTGACCCCTCGTGGTCTTTTGGTTTTGTTGTGTTTGTACTGTTTTCTGTTTTGTTTAATAAACCCGTTTTTTTTTTTTATTCCCGGAGCCGCCAGTGGGTCGTCCGCCCCTTTTTGTGCCTGATGCCTCGCTCCCGTGCCCGAGCCGCCCGGAACCATGACAGGTTTGGATTTTGACATTCTGGACCTGAAATGAAATGTCCACCTGTGGACATACAGCAGATAGGAAATCATGGCGTTTGTATATGACGGGTTCTTCAGACACAGGCTGTGAATAAAAGGGGCAGTCGGGTGCGTTTCTGTAACATACAATGGGGACGACATGATCGTCTTGGGGAATCGGGCGGGATTCTCACCTCCCGAATCTGCCCCTTCATTTCTTTAATTTCGTTTTCCCTGGGCTCAATCTGTTTCTTCAAGTCTTTGATCTTGTAGTCCAACACAAACTTGAACTTCTCCAGCTCCTGGTTCTTCTTCTTCAGATCGAAGATGCGCTTTTCCTTAAAAGGGAGCGGGTTACATTATCTTCAGCTTTTGCAGTCAGTGTAACAAGTAGCACATTAAAAATGCAAAAGTAACGAGGAATGAACTGCACAGGAACTTTGGCTATTTCCATAATAAAATGAATAAAATGCTTAATGTGTTATCATTGGTTTCCAGTCTTAGTAGACATTCTGACATGGATATTATATACAATTTTTTGTCTGCTATGAAAGTTCTAGAAAAGTGACCATATTGCGCTAGTTGAAATACAAAGGTGTCGTCTTCATTCTGCTGGTTGTCCCCAGGAACAGACCTTGTCCTGGATGGTCTCATCTCTCTCTTGAATCTCCTTCCTCAGTCCCTGAATTTCCTTTTCCAAAGACTTGATCACACCCAGGATCTTCTGCTCCTCCTGCTTCATCTTGTTTATATCCTGATTACGCCTGTCGGTCTCCTGCTGCACGCTGATGAGCTACCATGCCGTGAGACCGGGGCAATCGGGGAACAGTGAGCAGGGCTGGCGAAACACTCAGCTTCTTATATAATGTTGCTATCCATGGTTTGGAAACAGTACTTTCAAGACTTAAACTGGAGAAACTGAAATGTGATTAAATTCATGTCCTTTGAGGTTCAATTATAAGATCAAATAACTATGGGTGTCTTTCCGTGCGTGATTTACTATGATCTGCGTACAATGATTTTGAATATTTGTCATTTATTTCCCAGCACAGAATTTGTACAGTTATAAATAATCAGCAGAGGCTGAACATTGCTGTCATGCTGTGATGTTTACTCCGCCACGTTTACCTTCTTCCTCATGACTCCTATCTCCCCCATCAACTGCAAATTGGTGTCCTTCTCATCCTTGAGCTTCCTTTCGTACTTCAAGCGGAGGTCCTGGATTTCTCGCTCTCCATCCTCCTCCATCTGTTATTACACTCCTCTAGCTCCAGAACCTTCTGCCCGGCATCACTTTGGTGCTGGAGGCCACACGGTAAGAAGCGGTCAGAAGCTTGGTTCGTCATAAATACCTTCATGCTCTCATGTAAACGCTACTGACGGCCTAATGTTGTTTATCAGAAGTAACGTTTGCTTATAACTCATTGCACTTCATTAACATTGTGATCTTGAAGTCGGTCATTAACCCTCCTGATCAGCCTAAGGAATTTGCGGTGCTTCTGTCTTTCAGGGTGATGGATGAAGCAAGATTCTCATGTAGGAGACACACTTCCTGCATAGTGCTTTCTGTCATTTTGTGCACCTGGACATAAGCTCACACATTAACCCAATCCTAGCCCCCGAGTAGCCCACCTGTTCCAGCGTGAGGAGACTCTCCTGCAGCTGGTCTCCATAAAACCGGGTCCGCTCCTCCAGCTCCTGGACCTTGCTCTTCTCCAGACTCTGCAGCTTTTGTTCGTAGTCCTCCTCCATGCGCTGGGACTTCAGCAGCAGCTCCTGGTATTTCTCATACTCCAGAATCAGCTTTTGGTTATTTGTGGACTCTGTGGGAATTTGACGGTACAAAGGCTGGTCCCAGTGTAAGATTGACTTGGCTACACAATCAGCTTTACCTAAACCCTGTGGGGAGTTATCCTGAGTGTGGACCTAGATCTAGGACACCTGCATCCTGAAGCTCTCGGGAGTGCCGTGCCGCCAGCTCCGCCATCGCCTCTTTGTGGACCAGCTCCTGCTTATCCTTTTCCGATCTCAGCACCTTCAGGGCACAGAAGTAAAGAGAAGCTGGTAAATATTGGCATATTTAGTGTGTAGCTATAGCTTAAAATATTTCTTACACTTTATCTTCACAACGTGACCTCGGCTGACCTGGTTCTTTGTTTCCAGCAGCTCAATCTGCTGAACGAACTTCCCCGTGAGCTCCTTGGTTTTCTCCTTGTAGTTCATGTCCTTCAGCCGGAGATGGTACTCATTCTCGATTTGCAGCTCATGCACCCTTGTCTTCAGCTCCAGCATGGCCTGGTTCTGCAGCCATACCACATTCGTATGCTGCAGCCAACCTGTTCCAGTACAACTGTGGCAGTTAAAAGAGAACATCTACCTTCTCCTCCAGGTCCAGCTTGGTGATGAGAGTTTCTTCAGCATAGTGGATCTCCTTGTCCCTCTTCAGACCCCATCCCTCCTTGTCAATGAGCTTCCAAATAAGAAGGCAGCCATCCTCCGAAACAGTCAGCAACATCTGGTCATTAGATGTGATGACCATCTGGCAACAAAGATCATCTGAATGTCACATTAGCATTAAGGACAATACAATTACAGCCATCAAGGCACAAACCTACAGTAACCTAACTTAGTATTTATAACCTAGCAAAATTGTAAAAGTCATGTTTTTGCATATGATATACAAAACTGCATATGACTTATTTACATGACACAGTAGGTTAAGGTTTGGCCTGAAACACGGTGGTCAACCTTCGTGATGGGGGCGGCGTGGCCCTGGTACTCAGTCCAGACATTCTTTACTGGTAAGGGGTACTTTATGGTCCGAATCGTTCCTGCAGAGGTGCCAGCAAAGAGCACCCGTCCCGAGTGGGACATCACGATGGTGGTGTAAAGCACATCCTCAGTGGGAATCTCTCTAAGGATCTGTCGGGGGAAAAAAGAACACTTTTTCATTAAGGTCCTCCTTTTATAATAATAATAATAATAATAAATTTTATTTCTAACGCACTTTTCATTAAAACAAATCTCAAAGTGCTACAAAGTAAAATGGTCAAAAACATTATGGAGTGGCTCAGTTTATCTTTGAATAATTTGATAATTTGTAATAATTGGTAACACTTTCTATGAATGCCATGTCTAAGAATCTATGAACACATTCATGACACCTTATAATGCATTCATAAAGCATTATAAACATGGCTATAAGTATTTAAAAGGCGTAGCACATTATAGCCATGTTTATTATTAATTATGAATGCTTTACAAAGCTCGTCAATAATGCGCTATAAATATCTTCATAATGCAGTACAAAGGATCCTTAATTGTTATGCTGACCATTATAATGCATTATAGATGAGAACTTCATTGGAACTTATGAAGTATCATATTCAACGCTATAATGCCTTATGACTGTCATCTGGAGATGCTGTAATGTTTTATTTATTCTTATACCTACCATTATAATGCATCATGAAGGTACATTATAGTACATTGTAGATGAAAGTTACAAGTTAAGTGTTACACAATAGTCTTATTTCACGAATATTGCACTACAGTGAGTGTTAACATGATTATGTCTATCATCCCAAAATTCCATCTTTTTGAAACATTGTTGCAGGGAGTTTATTCCTGAGGAATGCCACAGCGTTTGTATCACACCTGACAGTCCTGGATCTCCTTGATGGAGCAGTCACTCCCCGCGGCAAAGACGGTCTTGGCATCGGGGCACATAGTGACGCAGGAGTAGCTGCAGGACTTCAGGACGCTCTCGGACAGGCGCTTACCGCTGAGCGTGCTCCACTCGTACACTGCGCCATCCGTGCCACAGGACACTAGGCTGCTGTCGTCCTCACTCCAGATAATGGAACGCACCTGGCAAATGGAAAATATTGCTAGAAATGCCATTGTAGTGTCATTTTCCTTTCCATTACAACTCTTAATACTTGTAGTGCAACTCTGGTACCAGTAGTTGCTGTTCCTCCCCAAAAGGAGATTTAAACCTTTACATTTTTTCCAAGTTATTATATACTATATACACTCACCTAAAGGATTATTAGGAACACCATACTAATACGGTGTTTGACC